TGTTTACGTTCAATTAAGGTTTTCCTCTTTTTTTTTTTTTTTTGTTTTTTACTTCAGAAAGCGGAAATCTGCTGACATATATGAAAAATATCCATTTCCTGTCTTCTTTGGAGCGACCGATGGAAACTTCATGGAGAAATACAGCGTCACGCCATCGTGATAACGTACATGTTTATGACAATTGATCGGTGTGAGGATACTTCAGTGTAGATCAGCCGACTTCAACATGTTTCAAATGACATACGAGTATATCAGTGTATCTTCAGAGGACTTCGGGTTGCTCAAATTCCATGAAAGAAGGTGCAGCACTCGGAATCTGGATGATATGCACACGATTTGAGGTATATGTTTGTAGTTATGTCCAGTAGTCCTCCAAGAAGTTTAATAACTTTTTTTTTTAAATGACAACCAGAGGTATATGTTTAAAGTTACGTCGTGTAGTCCTCCACTAAGTTTAATCCATTTTTTTTAAAAGATGACAACCAGAGGCGAGATTTCTCTTAGGGATATTGCTCATAAGATAACATTCTTCGAAAGCCGTGCATGTTTCATTTGTCTGAAACATTTGTTGTTGAGAACATTAGATGTAAGCATCGCCAAATTGTGCAATATCTGATTTTAAGCTTTTTTCGCGAATTACCCCTATAAAAAGTAGAGGCAGGCCCGCAGAGATTTTTACATATTTAAAAACTAGAATATTATAACCAGCTAGGTGAAAACCAAATAAAACAGGGTACAGTAAATTCCTGCAACTTGCTTTCAAGCTCTTTTATGTAGGTAGCTTTTCTTCTTAACTCGTCAAAGTATCGATTCTCTTGGCAAAATGAGGCCAAAATAGACGCCCTTTTATAATTAATTTTAAAATTTAAAAAGTTTTGGAGCATTACACATTAATAGTCACCGCGACAGAAGGGCTGCCATGTTCGACAGTTGAACTTGATGGGGGCTCTTAAAGTTTTGAAAAACATCGCGATTCTTATGTAAAACATATTATAAAGCTGCCCGTATGAACGTAAATAATTCATTTTAGTTTTCCTAGTTTTTAGGTTTACTGACTGTAATAATTAAATTTGTTCCACTTCGGTGAATAATTACTAACTGGCTCTACAGACAGAACTTATGTGTTTTTCCAGTCTATGGATACAACACAAGATCAGAGTTTGAGAGCCGACTGGTCTGTACTCTATTCCTTTTCACGAAGCCGGAAAAGAAACCGGCCATACGGTTGCAAAATTTCTAGGTGTGGCAAAACTTGAGATATTTTCATTCATCGATGGAAAGAAAGCTTACTTTCATTAATATTGTGTATACTATACTCCTATGGTAAATAATAAAATGCGATCCTCTTTAAATATTAAAGCGTGAATAATACATTCCAAATCGTTCTTAGAGTTGATCTTGTAGAGTGCAGAGACTCATAAGTGCAACGCTGAAAATTAAGTAATGCACTTCCTTTAAATTTATCGCACGGGCATAGTTTTCAAGAAGTGGAGGGTTCGGCAGTGTATTGTTCCTCTGAGTTATTCTATAATTGTGCCCTTGATAGAATGTATCGATCACGAAGTTGGAAATCATACTCAGCTCTGGAACTGGCCGACCAAATCGTGGAATTAAATCGCTGTATCTGTATGGGTAAGCAAATCGTCTCGGTGTTATACAAAGCGCTTCTAGCCCATCACAAATGGTTCCTTGGTGACACTTGAAAGACTGAGGGAGCTGCAAGGCCTCTAAAAGGACGGGTACCTCATTGTTATGAAATCGAAACTCAGCCAAACACTCGCTGTCGTCCGTCGAACGCTCCAAAGCAATCGTAAGGGAAATCTGGGTTTTTTGAGATGTTTTCATCTTAAAGAAGAAGAAATTCGTCCTTGGAAATATCATCGTCATCAACACTTTCGAGGAGAAGTTTAAGCACATCTCTAAAGGATGCCATATTGTCACTGAAAAACCGGAAGCCTGTTATGGGGTGGACTGCGTCTTCCACGAGTGTTCTTAAAGTTATTTTTCGCGTCTTACGACGGTGATCTCTCCTTATTCCCCCCAGTTCACGACCTCGCCGTCGTCGAATCTTATGGTCCCTTATAACAAAAAAAAAAAACACGACGGCGACGAAAACGAGAACGAAGTGCAACAAAAGATCTAATGAGCAAAAAAATTGCGAAATACGTGCGTTTCAAAACTTCGTACATTTCTTAGGGCCTGTTTACATGGAGGTGGGGGACCACAGGTAGGTGAGGTAACCCGCCTAGCTGTGGTCGAAAAATAAAACGCGTTTACATGCAATCTTACAACCCCAGGGTACTGGGTGAGGTTTCTTGAGGTTGTTGTTGCGCTTGCATTTAAGGAGTTTGAGCAGAGGCGTCAATTAATTCTGGGACACATATATATTTATTCATGAAAGCGTCACGTGTTGTGTTACGCGGTGTTTGGTTTCGTAAGGAACTATTTACTTAATACGTTATACGGAATAATTTGGGAAACCAAATATAATCGATTTACAACGCTAAATATTCTGAAATGTGAACATTTTACACTCCTTGTGTGTCCGTTGCGGTTTTTGTTGATTTCTGCCATGAAAAGATTTAAAACATACATGTTTCGCTTTTGAGCTTTTTGCCTTGAATGCGACCCCGGCTAGGCGGGTTACCCCACCTTGAACGTTTACATGGCAAATTGTCACCCCGGCTGACAGGGTTACCCTACCTGGCAGACCGGGCAACCCGCCTAGGTGGGTCACCCCACCTATCATGTAAACGTGATCAAAATAAAACAAGAAATTATATGGACAGGCGGGTTACCCCACCTAGGCGGGTTACCTCACCTACCTGGGGTCCCCCACTTCCGTGTAAACAGGCCCTTAGCCGTCCCATACATAACAAAGATGTAAAGTCACCAACTAATACGTTCTCTCAACAAGGTTACTTCCACAATAGTTTAGTCACCTTTTTTACTTTGAACTCGACACCACATTCACATGTTATGCCGATTAAAAAATGAATTTCTGCCTTTAATTAGAATTTAAAAAATGGCTGCATGTGTTTACCGTCTCATACGGCGCCACACCTCAACTTCAGCGTAACAGAAACGGTTAACGCATCGAGCTATCGGTGAGAAACTTAGAGGAAAATAAATATCGTTTTTTTCAGCAACTTTTTACCACACGTCGGCGTAGTGAAATCTTAAACTCCCGAATATCCTTTCTCCATGCAGCCGCATGATTCTGCCACATTTTCCAAGAACATTTCTTCTAATATTGGACTTGAGAAAACAAAACAGAAATAATGAAAGAAGTCGCTTTTTTAATTAATTTTGAGACTTAAAGAAAAAAAGGAATCGATTTTACTGTAGAATCTTTTTTGTGGTGGTCCTGCCGGTCAAATGATGAAATACATATTGACTCATTGAGTCTGATGGGGTCGGACGAGAAAAAATATAATTTGGATAAAAACGAACTCGATATCGAAGAAAGATTGTTTTGGTTATGGATACTATGCGAAGAATAAATTTGTAAGGAAGAAAAATGATCGCGATTATCACACAGTTTAGCTTTTTTCATTAAGCTTGCAAACCAGCTGTGCGATGGTTTGACGGCAGTTTTAGTTTCATTTATGTCTTTCTGAACTTACGCCACTACTGCTGTCTTAGTTATTGTTGTCTGTATCAATTAGTGTTCTTGCGATACGTTTAGGCTCAGGAGGTCACTGGTAGTTTAAATCATTCCTACAATTGAATGTTGGACAGTTCTCATTTCTACTAAATTAGGAAACGGTAGATGGCAACAAACAACCTTTGTTCTACCGACCTTGTTTTTTTTATGGCTTGCTGTGGTGGTCCTGGTGTGTGGTTAATGACTTCAGAAAAACAAACATTGTTAATATGAGCCGAAAGAAAGCTAATGGTGAGAGGGACACTTTGTTAACTAAAATGGATATTAAAAGATGTCGACTTTTATAAAGGTCAATCAAATTTTGATCACCGCTTTAAATGTGACGGATTTCATTTATTTGATGCAATTTTTTTAGTTGTGAAGAACTCTGTGTCAATAGTATTGCAATATCTTATCCATTGTTTATTTCGGGTGTCTTCTAGGTAACGTCTTAAACAGAGCCAATGATCTTAATTGATTCATTATTGTGGTTTTTCTATTATTTTTCAAGTATAAAGGTGCATTGATATTACCGGACATACATATAGTTTCAACAACATCTGTTCGCCCGCAAACCTTTCTCGAAGGATTTTACTGAAGCCATAAAACGAATCGACATTTTAAGGTGAGTGCAGAGAGATGGTACTCAGTGAAAACCAAAAGTTTGTTACTGAACTACTCAAGGGAAGAGACAACATGTAATTTGTTTCTACTCCGTTGATTAAACAAAACTCATGCAGCATGACTTATTCAATAAATTTAAAGTTACTTTTTTCTACTATCGACACAGTAAAATATATCTAGTGCGCCATGCACACTGTACCTCAGATTCTCATTTCAATCTCGGCTAATTTTCAATATTAGTTATTTAATCTGTCATCGAGATATTCGATCCCGGAGAACGATGCTCCCTTTCTCAATAAGCATTACGTAATCACTCTCGCGTCAAAAGAAGGGAAAACTTCAAGGCGCTGGCTAAGATCTTGATCGTAACCTGAGGTCGAGTCGCGTTTACACCATGGTACGATCACGTACCTATTTACGATTCTTTGCCTTTTTTTCTAAGTAGACTCCGATTGCTACTAAATTTTAAATGCCTCGGCATAATTATGGAATGAAGATATCCATCTCATTTGTACGTTGTTAAGGTCCACCATGAGTGTTCTTCGCTATCTACATGCGATGTTGTTGGTATCTCAGCTCACTCACACCAAAGAGGCGCAGCCAACAGTAAATTGTCAAAACTTCCAGTTTGTTATCGGCGAAGATGTCGTCTATAATCACATTCTTGAGGGTCACGTGTTTCAAAGATTGACAGTTCACAGCGTCCTCCAGTGTCACATGAAGTGCAAAGATGACTGCCTGCATGTGTGTATCCATGAATTATTTCCCTCTGTCCAAAGAAAGAAACTGCGAGCTCAACGACGCTAACAAAGACATGGAGCCAGCGGCGATGAAATGGAGTCAAGGAGGAAATTATTATGATTTGGTGAGAAGCTACACGGTGAAGGTGAGAGATAGAATCGTGAGTTGTTGATAGAATTGTCTTAGTTTTTCTTCTCACTTACATTTTTATCACAACCTAGCGCGCGTGCAGGGCCTACCTATATCCTAAGGGAGCTACCGTAATAAAAGTTCCTTGTTATATACCTAGACTTTCACTCAACAAAACGAGGACTGTAATTGGTTAATTCTTAGTCACATGCCCCTGATCAAATTCAAATGTATCCCGACCGGGATACAATTACGCAGTTGTTGCCCGCGCGCCGAATACAACAGCATGTTTTTGCCATATGTTTGTTTAAAGGAAAGTCTTAATATATAACAAAGTACTTAATGTAAATTTAGTACACGTCCTTGCATCCATAACATGAAGTGTGCAGTTTCATTTCGGCTAAAAGTCCCGTCTAGTTTAGCCCCGAGAATTCAAAACTATCACTGAAGATTGTTTTTCAGTTCTATCCCGATTGAGATAGACCTTTGTAGCTCAAAAGGAAAACAAAATATGCTGAGTAAGACTCGTTTCGAAAAAAACAATGAACAAGTAGCTCTTCGAGCGACGTAATTAGTTTCAGAGTTGACAATATTTTATTTACAAACGCGATGAGAATTAAGGCTGGAAACTGGAAAATATTATTGTGAAGCATTGACATGTACCAAAGTTTTGTTCAATGGAATATTTTGTTTTAGAAATCGTACGATTTTCAGAATTTTTAGTTCAAAGCTATGCAATTTTCGGGTAGTAAATTTTAGTAAACAGCGGCATTTCAAGCAGCGTAAATCTACCACACGTGTCTCGTAAATGCGAGAAATTTATAGGCTTTTGCTTCGTGCTTTGAACGGTTGATATCAGTTCTAAGTGTTGATATACCCTAAAAGTATTGTTAAATAGCAGATTTTAATTTTAAAACCGTACAATTTCAGAATTCTCAAAATCTCTAACAGAAACATGCGCAAATTTCTGGCGTCGAATTCTAGTAAACAACGATTGAAGCATGTCGAATGCAAGAAATTCGTTCGTTTCTGCTTTTGAGCAGAAAATTTACAATTCTTTGAATAAAGATTTGGTCTCAAAATATTTCTTGGTCATTTTTTTCTTGTCATTTATTCATAGTTTTCGGGTTGAACACGATTACCAGGTAAATCAGACAAAGTTGTAATGAACTCCTACACAACTTGCATGCTATGTTATAACGGAATTTGTTCACGCTTTACCTATACCTCGAGTTTTGGATGCACTTGGGAGTTTGAAGAGCACTCAAGCAACCCTTACGCTTCTCTCGTGCTCTTAAAACTTAGTTCCCGCGTGCATCCATAATTTGATATACACAAGCTAAGACCAATTCTTTTTTTATACGTCCCCCCTCCTATAAATTTATTTCCGAATATCTGCAGCGCTTGACTTTACCTTAAGCAGGGAATAGTTTGAGGGAAAAAAGGTTCATTTTCAATTAGGGTGGAGGAAGCTACATTCCAGGGATACATCGCTGCGTTAATAGATGCTGCAACCAGAATCCCTGCCTCAACGGGGGGGTATGTCAGGAGATTTGTGACAATTGCAGCCCCAGGTTTAACTGCACCTGTTCTTACAAATACACTGGTAAGTGTTGTGGTCAGACTACACATCCAAGAAACTGCAAAGACATCGCTGACAACGGGGACTCACAATCAGGAAAATACGATATTTTTGATTCAGCCAATAAACCGTTTTCTGTTTACTTTGACTTGCAGGGAGAACCTGGCTTTGTATGGGCATTGATACAGTCGTTCTCCATCGCCAATAAGGCCACATATAAGGATAAGGGGTTTGGCACGGATTTTCCTGTGAATGACAATAACAATGAACCGGACTGGAACTCTTACCGCCTTTCCTTATCACATATGCAGTCTCTCTCAAATCACTCTACACATCTCAGAGTAACATGCAACTTACCTGCAGATGGCCTGCAGTATAAGGACGACGCACGCGCAGTTATGGCAGCTCATGACATATTCGGTAACTGGGGTGGAGATTGCATACTGTTTGTGTATATTAACATCCGTGGAATTAACTGTTCTGATTGCACCGCCTACACGAGAATGGATCTTAATGGTGCTTGGTTCGTGAACAGTTTCAAAAGCAAGGAAAACGGATGCGATTTTGATTGGTCACTGGGAGCAGTTGACAACGAAAATAATTTTGGACGGTATCGTTCAGGAGCGATAAATACGAATCACCGCTGCTCCTCTTTGGATCCTTCTACAACGCAATACTGGTTTGGAGTTAAACATGAATAGTTTATTCTAAGTTCCAATAATCTGCTAAAACTAGAATGAGTTGTGAGTATTAGATAAGGTTTTTTTTTTTCTTTAAGGATTCTGTCTTTTATTGGTTGTGATTACTTTTTGATTTGTTTTATTTTTATCAACATAGGCCTTTGGTTTCTCGGAAATCTTTTTTTGAAATCGAAGAAATTGATTTTGAGTCTCGTTACAGCCGCTTCCCATATGATGTTTGACTGTATGACGTTGATAGAACGATTTTTCAACAAGTATTGTCAAACCGAAACAATATAGACAGCTAATCAGAACAAAATACGATACTATAGGAACCATTAGGAATGTAAAGAGAAACAAGCAAACCGTTGTAATCTGTGATTGTTTTTAGCTATGCATTGCTTAGGTAGGAGATTAGCCCGAATTCTCTATACCAAAAATGCAAAGCTAATGCAATCTTGGCTCCCTTTCGAAAACAGGAACAAAATTGGGCTGTAGTAGTAGTTAAGTAATGATTCATGGCTTGTATGCGTAAGCTATCATACGAATATGTTCAAATACGCCTTACGAACTTTTATATAAACTTATATCTGTAACATACATATGCAATTGATATAACATGATCCTAAATTCAACTAAAAAGGCTAAAAATTTTAGATATATTATCTTCAGGAGTTAGAACAACCAAGGGTATAGACCAACTGGGGTCTTAGTTGCTATGCAACTAAGCTGCACAGCTTAAGACGAAGACTGAATTGCATAGTTGCACTACGTTTGTTTGTAGACAACTAAAGGAAGGGGCAGCATCACATTTCATTTAATCGCCTGAATGCTGTTTCATCAATTTACGTACTCTCAGATACTAGTTTGATATTTGTATTGAGGGCGAAAGAGACATCTGCAGTTAAATGACTCGAAAACCTATCTCTTCTCCAGCCTTGTAAATTCATCTCAGGAGTTAGCAGGATGATAGAAGTCCACGCAATTTTTTAAATTTATGAGTGAAACTTTATACATCGTTATTCGCAAGCATCTCCTCGAAAAAGTTTCAGCTCTGTTTGTCCTCGGTGCCTAAATCGAGCATACTTACGTCACAAGTTAGAAAGTAGCAACGAAAACGAAAAATTTAACCACGTAACATTTGTGAACATTGAAGATTTTTCAATGCAAAATGATTCCATTACACTAATTTTCACAAAAAATTACGGTGTTTGATTTATAATATCCGTGTTTATGTTGAATTTCTGCCATATGTAGATTCTTTTTCATGAAGTTTTTTCAAATGGGTAAGTATTGGTTATTATCTGTTGGCAAAAACAACTTCACGGACGATCATTTTAAGACCTTGCTGTGTGTCTTCGTTTGTGTTGAATGACTACAGAAAAAAAATGAAACAACTTAACGTCAACAACAATGTCTGGAGAAACAGTAAAATTGCTTCGGATGATATTTTATTTCAGTGTTATTACTATTATTTCCAGTTTTGATCACTAGTAGAATACTCAATGGTGAAGTCTGACCTTAATCTCTCCTTCTCTAGTTGACGCTTTTAAACTGTGGATGGATGGTATACGGTTTTGAATAATTCGTATCATCCGGCTCCTGTTCAAAATATACACAATGTGAAAGAGTATCAATGATAACAAGTGTCCAGTATTATCATCTATGTTCCTTATTTGCACATCTTTCTAAAGAAGGGTTAGAGTTTGAGAAAGATTTTGTGATATTTTACCATTTTTTATCTCAGGTTTTTCCAAGAAGCAGTTGACTGATGCAACAATCATGTAAGTGTGTTCACCTCGGGTTAACTCGAACTGGCACCTTAATGACTTCAACAGCCTTCCCTTCATAGTTCAACCCTGATTCATGGCCAAGAGATAATTGTGTAGATAATTATTACAATTACAGATAATTAGGGAACTATGCGCCTTATTTTGCTACCATTCGTTTGTTACATGTGATGTGTATGGATGACTGCTTGTATATATAATCATATTTCCCTCAGTCCAAATAAAGCAACTGAGAGCTCAATAATGCCAATCAAGATATGAAGCCATTAGCGATGAGATTTAGAGAAGGAAAGAAATTGCCATGATCAGGTGAGGAACTACACTGTGCAAAAGTTGTAGTAAACTTAAATTGTGTAATCTATTTTATTCAATTTACTAAGCAGACAAATTTCCTGAAGGGATCTACACCTTCAAAAGTGAAATTCCTATCATGAAAACCAAATAAAACAGTCTAAAGTAAATTCGTTGTAAGGTAATTGTCCTGTAATTAAAAAGTTTCGGAACATTACACATTATTATGATAAAGTTCGGATATAACGCCCACTGAAATTGGTTAAAAGAGCGTGCTCTAGGAGCGTATAGAGCATGGAGCTGAGCTGAAGCTGTCACGCCATCTGCCAAATTGTAATATGTCCGACCTTTCCGGGACTTCTCTCTAGCTTTTTTTCGATAATTGAAAGTGAAATTTCGGAACAAGCGAGACGGCAAGTGGCAACGGAGGAACCAAACCGAGGTTTGTAAACATGCCAGGCGCCATGATTTACTTTACTGAAACGTGAGCAGAGTCGAAAATCTTCAAAGAGAAAACAAAATGGACAGACCGAGTTTGAAAGGGTTTCACGCTCAGTTAAATTGCAAGCTTATGTGTGGTAACAAAAATCAAACACAGCTCACACTCGTATAGTCTATAAAGTTTTGTCTTCAAAAACAAAACAGAACAAAACAGGAATGGTAAAAAATATGACCAAACTGGCCTAATTGTTAAAATTCATACGACTCATGACGGTGTCAGAGCGACTGCGATCATCATGGCGATCTCCGGTCATCGCAATGAAGGAAACCTCAGAAACTACATGGGCCGCCCTTCGAGTGAAAAAATAAGAGCTTGCTCTGATATCCTTTCTGATGCGTCAAGTGGAGGGCCACACTAGTCATTGCAGCCTAGTTTTACGGTGTTGTCATCACGAGCGATGTTCATGTTCCGGTGAATTCGGCTGTAGTTCATTCCTAAAACTTTTGCCTTATACACTTTGTTTTCTACTTGTCATTTGAAAAAACTTGCTTGTTTTTATGAGCTTCAATTCGGCAGAAGTTCACTGAACATTTCACTTTCAGATTCTGTAGAAGAGACTAAAAATCTTCAGGCAAAAGTGTTAAACTCGACCTGCCGAGCTATTTAAGTTTGTAAACTAACGCAGAATGTGAACTTTGATGGTTTGACATTTTTGACAGCTTTAGTCTTGTACAGCCAATCAGATTATTTGAACCATTCTAACAGGGATTCTGATTGGCTTATTGCTGCGTGCTTTATGAGAGTATAGAGCATGCTGACGACACTGATGTCCGCTTTGGAAATAAAGTTTGTTTTTAAAATTGAAATTAATGCTTGGGGAACTTAACCGATTCTTTCATTATAAAACAAACAGTGAAGCCTTGACTGTGCACATACTGTTCTGTTGTAAAGCACTAAGGAAGCGGCTAGAGCACTTAAGAAGTGAGGAGAAACACTCGACTGCGTCTGGTGTTTCTCCCTACACTTCTTTCGTGCTCTAGCCGCTTCCTGCGTGCTTCATAACAGAACAGAGCGCAGTCCAGGCTTCTCTATTTGTTAAATAGTCACCGCCATAGAAGAGCTCTTATGTTTGACTGTCGAACTTGACGGGGGGTCTTACTGCTTTGAAAAACATCGAGATTCTTATTTAAAACATTCTATAAAGCTGCACTTATGAACATAAATAATTCCTTTTAGTTCTTCAAGTTTTTCGGTTTAATGATTGCAGTAAATAAATTTGTCGGTAAAAGTAATAGAGATAATGTCTACCACTATTCACCTCAACTTCAGTGAATAATTACTAACTGACTCTACAGAGAGAACTTATGTGTTTTTCCAGTCTACGAATAGAAAATAAGATCAAAGTTTGTTATCCCACTGGTTTGTACTCTATTCCTTTTCTTAAAGCCGGAAAAGAAACCAGCCATACGGTTGTGAAATTTATAGATGTGGCGAAACTTGAGATATTTTCATTCATCGATGGAAAGAAAGCTTACTTTAAGAGCTTTCATTAATATTTTATATCCTATGATCCTATGGTAAATAATAAAATACGACCCTTTTTCAATATTAAAGTGTGAATAATACAGTCCAATTCGTCCTTAGAGTTGAATTTGTAGAGTACAGAGACTCATAAGCGCATCGCTGAAGGAGGATCCTTTAACAATTGATGGTGGGTAGAGTTTCCCTTTTTTCGGTTTTGTAACACAAAACGTTTTGAGTTCTCTCTTATTTTCAAAACGCTTTTGAAACTTTTACATTTCAAGAAACACTCCTCAACGATGGGCGATTTGATACATGAAGGTTTTGATCAAGTTCTGTGTGGTTGCCAATCGCCTGTCAGTATTTGATAAAGTTCATCGCAGCGGCTGTTTCACTGAGATTTGATATACTTCGACATTTAGCTTTGCATTCAACTAAAAGCAACCGAAATCAGCAATTACTGATTCGTTTTTTTTTTATATCAGTTCCATTTGCCAATATATCTCCCTCCATTGCAACCTGGGCAATGAAGAGAAATCAGCTCAGCATACCCAGTGTGGCTTTATTTCTACTAAGGCAGTCTTCATGCCACCATAACTTAAAAACTCGATGATATGTCACAATAACCTTTCGGTGTTTTGTTACTTTTATTCAATTTACTTCGCATACGAAATATATGTCAATAGCGCGTTCAAATGTTTGATAAATATTTAAAAGTGACCTACTCTCTCAAAAACTTTCTAACTTGAAAACCTGGCCACTATCGGATGTAGTAAAATCCCTGACCTTTACAAACGCATTTACGTCGTCGCTCCTCTTTACAAATAGATAAACACGAACTTCTCAAGTTTCTTCACTTATGAGCATATATGTTTAATTTTCTCAGACCAGACAGTAAAGTTGATTTGGTTACTATTAACTTCCCCTGAAGAAACAACGTTCCATTTGATTTCAAGAAATAGTCTTTTTGCGTGTTT